TGTTGTTGCTGTTGTCGCTGCTGTTGTTGTTGCTATTGTTGTTGTTTCTGTTGTTGTTGCTGTTGTTGCTTTTGTTGTTGTTGTTGTCGTTGTTGTTGTTGTTGTTGTTGTTGTTGCTGTTGTTGTTGTTGTTGTTGTTGTTGTTGTTGTTGTTGTTGTTGTTGTTGTTGTTGTTGTTGTTGTTGTTGTTGTTGTTGTTGTTGTTGTTGTTATGTTGATGTTATTGCTGATGTTGTTGTTGTTGTTGTTGTTCTGATGTTGTTGTTGCTGTTGTTGTTGATCTAGTTGTTGTCGTTGCTGCTGTTGTTGTTGCTGCCGCTGTTATTGTTTTGCTTTTGTCGTTGTTGTCGTTGTCGTTGTCGTTGTTGTTGTTGTTGTTGTTGTTGTTGTTGTTGTTGTTGTTGTTGTTGTTGTTGTTGTTGTTGTTGTTGTTGTTGTTGTTGTTGTTGTTGCTGTTCGCCTATGTTGCTGTTCGGTCCATGCTGTTGTTTTTTCATTGTTTCTTGTTTTCTACTTTTATTCTTAAATATCAACGACAAATTACTTTTCCTTTCCAAATGGTAAATTTAGTTTCGAAATATGAAATCTCAACTATTATCTTATTCAGTGGTACCCAGAGCACTCTGCTTTTGTTTGTGGACTTGTCATCGCTGGTGTTGGTGTATCAGCGATAACATTCAATGAAATAGAGACTATGTACACAAATCCCAACAACCTGGCACCCAACATTACTGCAGGCCCGAATAATGACAAGTAAGGACGAGAACTTGTAGTATAACTAATAACTAAAGTCTATTTTGGCCTGTTTCCGAATTAACCTTTCTCACGATGACGAATATCCGCCATTTTTGGGTGGCATCTAATTCTCGTTAACCAATGCAGACAATTGAAGCAATGTGAAAAACAATTTTTCAAAATAAACTAACCATTTACCAAGCAAATTTGCCATCATTCGTCAAAAAGTTATATAAAAATCGCTGTTATGTGCACTTATCTCGCAGACTTCGGCTGAACAGCCACCCAAAATGCGATTGAGTGTTACTACATGTAAATGCTCTTTTCACATGCAAATGAAGAGAAAGTTTCAATCAAACAACACCATCGCCAAAGTACAGCCAATTGCAGTTGAGCTTGCAGCTTGCATTTTAAACGCGTTGTTGCATCGTTGAAAAGTATGCGTTCATTCCTTGGAAACACGCCGTTGCTAGGGGCGTAACGTGAACTTTTGGCGCGCGTTGTAACGACGTAAACATGTTTTTCTATTCTTGGCGTTGACGAATTAAATTAGATTTTGTCACATTAAATTAGATTTTGTCACAAAACCGACCAGGGAGTTCTAATTTGACTGCAGGCATTCTAAAAATACCTTACTGTTCCGTCGCAGGCTTAAGCGGCGTTTTTACAATATATTTAACTCGTTATACGTTTGTTTGCACGCCGTTAAGAAGTTCAACAATGCCCGCCAAAAGTTCACGTTACGCCCCTAGCAACGGCGTGTTTCTAAGGAATGAACGCATACTTTTCAACGATATAACAACGCGTTTAAAATGCAAGCTGCAAGCTCAACTGCAATTGGCTGTAAAGTGTACGAGCGCTCCGTGCAGCCACCACAAGTCAATTGTCTGAATGTTGTGTGAGTGTTATACACTGCAGTGTTTAATGAAAGACCCATTTCCACTCAAGAAAATTTCCGCAGAGAGGAAATTTTGTAAAATGTGATTGGCCGACACAAAATTTACGTCCGGAAAAAATTTTGAAATTGAAAATTTTCGACTTTTAACAATGATATTTTCGGAAAATTTTCTGTCCGTGGGCCTTATAACACTCACATTACATTCAGACAATTGACTTGTGGTGGTTGCATGGAACGCTCGTGCACTTTACCTTAGCGATGGTATTGTTTGATTTAAACTTTCTCTTCATTGACTCATGAGCCAAGTTCCCTCAAGCAGTGGCGTAGCCAGACCTTCATTTTTTTGGGGGGCGGGTGGGCGAAGCAAACACCGAAGGTGCGAGATCATCTAGGGGGTCCAGGGGCATGCCCCTCTAGGGGGTCCAGGGGCATGCCCCTGAAATGCGATTTCAAGCATTTTAGGGGTGAAATCTTGCAGAATTCCGAAGATTATAAAGTACATCGAAGACATAAATTTTCCCAGATATTTCTAATTTTCAACTCGGAATTAAATAAATTGTAAAAGTCACCTTGAAAAACAGGAGGAGCCGGTCAGCGTCACCTTATTTCCCATCTGTGATGCTTGGGGAAGAAAATCCCAATGTGATTTTGATCAGAAATGTTGCATTTAAATCATTCTAGGTTCTATGAGACAGCATTTCCGCATTCTCAAAATTGCGTTGCTCTGAGAAGAATTCATTCATGCTATGATAATGCATACATGTAAATCTAAAGGCTAAATCTATTCTTCTTGGAACCATGTCTACAACTGCTTTAACGAGATTTTACAATCAAGTTTCTCCAGTATATCGTCGTTTTCCTCATTCGAGACGTACATAATCAGTTTCAGCTTCGAGGATGTAACGTGTACCCCCTCCCCCCCCCCCCCAATTTCTCCACGGATTTAGCCTTTTTCAGAGAATGGGTTTTTTGCGATTGGGGTGGGGGGCGGTCCACTGCCCTCAAGCATTTCTTACAAATCCTTCAAAACTTAGAATTTACCTATGCAACTTCCTACTTTGATCACAGAAAAGTTCATATATAGTATAACTGACCAGGCTTAAGACATTACTCCAGTAAATGGACCATTTGCATTATAGACTAATTTTTTATCTAGACAAACATTTCATCACAGCTTGAAAGAGCATCACAAAATTAGTAATATTCCAAAGTTTCGTTGCGAAATGTTGTAAAATGCGGATAATATAGCCTTGCGAAGTTTGCCGTTTTTCAGTCATTTTGTATATTACGCACGGGAAATTGACAGCCCAATCGGGTGTTGGGGCATCAATTTCCCGTTTGTAATACAAAATGAGTGAAAATTGCAAATTTCGCAAGGCTATATTATCCGCATTTTACAACATTTCGCAACGAAACTTTGGAATATTACTAATTTTGTCATGCTCTTTCAAGCTGTGATGAAATTTTTTCTAGATCAAAATTTAGTCTATAATGCAAATGGTCCATTGCAATCTCAAATCCACGACTAGTTGAATTTGTGTTGTCTAGATACTTTGATCAAGACGAGATATTAGACCGAGTGCCTAGTCTGTTTATCGTTGTTGGTGTTGTATGCGCTGTGATGACTGTCATTGGAGTATTACTGTTGTTTGACCCACCGAAACAAGACCATGTGAGTTCTTGCTTAAAGAATGAATAATACTTTGCCACTTAGATTGGCTTATTGCATTTTTTATCCGTACACCCCCTGTTGAGGACACACGGCATAAATTCTCCTACACCCCGGATTTTCAAGTAATTTTTTGTCAGAAGCCCTGGAAAAATGTGGTTTGTAGAAGGGGGTGCCTGGAATTCCAATTGTGTTTAATCAATGACCCTTGGAAATTCATTTTTTTCCGCATGACTCCAGATTTCCACTGTGAATAAGTTGATCTCCCCTGGATTTCCTTGGAAAAATGTGGTTTGTAGAAGGGAGTGCCTGGAATTCCAAGCACTTTTTTTTTCGATGATGACAATCAATGCCCTTGGAAATGCATTTTTCCCGCATGACTCCGGAATTCCACTGTGAATAAGTTGATCTCCCCTGGAATTTCCAGTTCCGGTATCATTATTTTATCCCCTTTCCCGGAATTTCCATGTAAATCCTATTATTTTGACCCCCACCTACTGGAATTCCAGGGTTATTTCGACCCCCACCCACTGGAATTCCAGGTTGGTTTGACCCCCACCCACTGGAATTCCAGGGTTAAATATAAAAGGCATCCCCTGGATTTCCAAGGTCCTCAACAGGGGGTGTACGGATAAAAATGCAATATGTCATTTTCGATTTAGTTACGGAGTTGCCGTTGGTGAAAGGAAAAGCCATTATGTCTTAAATAAGCTTGGTATAAAAGTCATAGGCGTACAAGGCATTAGGGGCTGTTTACTATATAGGCTTGCTCGCCTCGGTTTAATGTATTTTGTCATGATGTTAATCTTGAGATCAGGGCCGCCGAGAGGTTGGCGGGGGCCCGGAGCAAATTTTTTTGGTGGGGCCCCTATCTGAAAAATTTTTCGGGACTTTACTCATTTTTTTATGCCAAAATTTGGTACTTAGCCCAAGAAAACAGATATCTTGTCCTTTGCGCGGAAATATTTAACACACAAGAAAGACTGGGGCCCAACAAAAATTTTTCAGGGGCCCCCAGCAACTCGGGGCCCGGGGCAATTTCCCCCCCCCCTGCCCCCCTCCCCCCTCTCGGCGGCCCTGCTTGAGATATTCGTATTAATGTTTATAATTATAATGACAGATTAAATTTTTTTTCATGAAGTTCAAATTGCATGCAGTAGAGTGAGGATTTATCTTAAAGAAAGAAATCCCAAATCTTATTTAGCAAATCAGTCGGAATGTTTGTAACTTATTTACCTATATTTTAAAGTCGGTAGGAGAAAAGACATTTTTTCAACGGTTAACCAATACAGATGACGAAATAGAAGATACTTCGCAACATAAAGAAAGGTAGGAAATACATACTAAAATAGATGGTTGTTTGACATGCCAATGGTAACAGTTTATCATTTATTCAACATATAGCTAATACGGTACACGTGTATTAGGTGTATAAATATGAGATCATACGGACAATATGAGTCTTTCCACAGATATCGTTGTTATAACCATAGCCTGTGAAGATATGATGGCTTCAAAGCTACAAAATAGAATTAGACCTTTATTTAATGTTGAATTGTACCTCACCGTACACATTTTTTGTCTGAACCAGCTGACAGTGTTCATCTTCGTTTGCATTCCAGGGCGGATCTTTACGATGATGCTCATCCATTGGAAATGATAAAGACAAGAAATTTTTGGCTTTTATGGTTTCTTGCACTTGTTAACGGTGAAGTTCTAATATTTCTCCAATCATTATACAAGGTATATATATATATATATAGTTTTTCGTTTTACCTCAAATAACCACAACAGTCTGTTTCATCCGTATAGGAATCATCAGGTCTGATGATTCCTATACGGTGATAAAACAGACTGTTGTGGTTTTTTGAGGTAAAACGAAAAACTATATTACGCTCTATCTATATGGTATTGAGCACTGTTTGTGTTTCGTAAACCAAATATATATATATATATATATATATATATATGGTGTTTTGCTCGTGGTATATGGCTCATATCCGTACGGCTCAGGCCGGGGATAATTGTTTATTATCATGTGTTACCATTCATTATTTTGCTATGAAACTGACCTTACCTCTAGGCATATGGAGAGACGTTTATAGCGGACGACCATTTCTTGGCTTTAGTCGGTTCGATTAGCACAGCATTCATTAGTGTGGGGAGAATGTTTTGGGGAATGATTGCAGATAGGCTTCCTATAAAGGTAAGAGTACGGCAAATTTGGGGGTGGACCATTGGACATCATAAGATAGGGGAGGGGGATTTTCCTTGCAAGAATAATTTTTAAAGATGGAGTCAAGTCTGTCCTGCGCATGTGCTATGTGTGGATCCTCTGGTGTCAAAACAATGTCAAAATTTAGCGTTGGTTCGGCTGGTTTACATTATCAAAGCCGTAAATTGCATGAGGTAAATTGCATTTTGGTAACTGAAAACGTTTAATTCAATTGCAATGCAACTGCAAATATTTTAATTACATTTCAGGCTGCATTAGTATTGCAAAATGCAATAATAACAGCTTTGTTACTGACCTTCACACTGTCAGAAAAGGCTGGAAAATGGATGTTTCTTATTTGGATGGTTGGAATCCAAAGCACTTCGGCAGGAACGACGGCAAATCTCTTGTCTGCAACCGCCATCATATTTCGTATGAAGTACTTTGCTACAAATTATGGTTTAGTGTGCAGCTCAATGGTATGTTGAAAGTTGGGGATCATTATGACGAAAATCGTCATACCTTGCAGCCACGTACGGTTTGTGGCTATAAAGTACGCCT